AGCGACTAAATAATAATTTAGTAGCCAATTGTGCCATTATTAGTGACTGAATTTATGTTAGTCGCTGATAAGCAATATATACCGACTAAAAAACTTTAGTAGCTAAATCTTGTATTTTTTGCCGACTAATAAAATATTTAGACTCTAATTCCACCACTTTTGGCGACTAAAAATTGTTTAGTCGCCAAATTTAGTCACCAAAAGTGTCATTTCCTATAGTGCCACCGCTACAAATCCATTGCCGCAAATCCACAGTCTCTAATCCACAGTCGATCTCGATGAAGCCAAGAAAATCCTCGATCACAAATTTGATACAGATCTTATGCAAATCTACTACCATCTCTTCCATTTCAATGTTATTCCTTAGCAATGTTCACTATCTCTTCCCTTTCTCTATTTTCCTTCAATTTCTACCATTTCTTCACAGAGGGTCTGTAGCGCCCCAAAATATATACATTCGATAAACCCAATTTAACTCATAAGATGATCAAATTCTCAATTATTCCATCATTAACATAAGAGAGAGAATGATAAATGTTACATTCATTAATGTAAGGACCAAAACCCCTTTCTTTTCTATTCATGACTTTCTAGTAAGAATCATAAAAGAAATCACATGCATTCATACATTCATTATTTCTAAAATATAAATCTATGGCATGTGATGATAGATATTTAAAGCAAGCTAAGTACAAAATAATGCCCTATTGGCTACAGGTTCCAAGACCTTGCCTGGTTGCACAAAAAAGGTGTTCATACCCAATCATGAATAGCCCTTGGCTTACAAAAAGAAAACAAATAAAAGCCGAGCTTCGTGCTCCAAAAGTACCTCCTTGTCTTCACTTCGGCAAAGGCACATCGCAATCACCTGAAAATGGTTTCCACTAAGGGATAAGCATAAAGCCCAACAGAGATAATCTAAATAAAGTGCACGCAGTTTAACAATGTTATGAGGTGCAATGCATATGAGACGCCAATGCCAAAATTCATAGGTTTTCCCATTTTGAAATTCTCATGGCATGCACTTGTTCAGAAACATAACCAATTCAATCATCCATTTGATAGAACAAGGGGTGGTAAATACGACACTGGTAATCCCTAGGCTGGTGTCTGCAAGTAAGCATATCAAGCACTACTAATCACCACTTTATCAATCTCTCACCGAAAGGTACGTGGTACCTCCTCCGTGCATATTTTCGGTCTTTCATCCTAGACACTCAGGCCAACTTAAATAATACCAAACTACACCCCTTATCCAGACTTATCAAACGTATTTACCCCATAACTCAACACATTTCAAATATTCTTAATGAATCAATTTGAAAATCAATTTATCAAATCAAATGCAAGGATTAAAATCAAGAGATTATGCAATGTTCAATGCCATGCATGAATTTGCCAATACTTTACTTTTTACCTACTTCACATGTAATTTCTACAACAATCAATACAACCCTCCACTGGTTGCCAAAACAATTATCTCTATACAAAAATAAAAATTTCAAGGGACAAATATAACTCATAATCTCATATTTTCAATAATTTCAATATAGGAGTAACAATCACATGTTTAATCTCCTCTTTTCCCAACTCAATCAAGAATCATAATACTTTTCTAGAAATTTCATCAATTTTTCCTTTTTATTCAAACTCAAGAATTTCCCAAGAATTTTCATAATGCCAAACACAACATATATTTCTTTCGACTTTTCTCAATACCTCAACATGATAAATATTTTCATCTTTCTCAAAAGTTCAATATTTTCAAATTAAACAATTTTCAAAAGAAACCTTAATGGTTTTTAATGTTCCCAACAACATTCTCATCAATCTCATCCCTTTAAACATCCACTTTTCAATTCTCATTTGTTCAAATACACATATATTTTTAACTCTTGTAAGTTTTTCACAAACTCATCCCAAAAATCTAAATCTTAATATTTTAAATTTTTAGGATTTTATTAAAATTTGGGAATTTCTCATTAAAAAAATACATTCCTCCATCCATGAGTCATACAAAAAAATCGAACTCAACTAATAAGAGATTTTCAAAAAAGTTGAGAACCTCCCCCTTTTCATACATTAATATACCATTAATAAAATCCTAATGTTTTCAAATATTACACTATCAAAATAACACATAATAAAGTTAAAACAAATACACAATGTTTAAAAGCTAGAAGAGGAAATAAGCAAAAACCCTAATTTTCGACTTTGTTAGATTTCGATCTCCACTTGTCAAAACGCTGCTCTTGCCAAACTCTTCACTTTGATCTTAAGAACTATGGCCTAAAACCTAATCAGTGTGTTTGGTTTGAGTTTTCTGGATTAAGTTTTTTGAAAATTGACTTTTTTGGTTTTCGTTTTTTTTTATTTTTAGTGAATATTTTAAAAATTTTAAACATTTTTTTTTTTACTTTTTTAGATGCACCTTACTTAGATGTATCTAAAAAGTAAAAAAACTTGTGAAAAAATATTTTAAAAAATTAATAAATACATAAAAATATTAAAAAAAATGTACTGAATTTTTGTATTTTTTTTGTATTTTTGGTATTTAGTGAATTTTTAAAAGATTTTTTTTACAATTTTTTTACTTTTTAGGTGTATTTATGTTAGGTGTGTCCAAAAATTAAAAAAATTGCTTAAAATATTAAAAAAATTCAGTAAAAACAAAAAAATACGAAAAATAAGAAAGTATAATTTTCTGAAAAATGTTTTTTGAAAAGTGGAAACAAGCAAGGTGAATAGATTTTGGCAAATCAAAAATTTTACATGATAAATGTAACAACAAAAGAGAGAGAGAGAGAGAGAGAGAGAGAGAGAGAGAACCGAGAGCCGAGAGAGAAAGAAAGACAGAGAGAGAGCGAGAATTGTGCCAATTGAAAGGAAGAGGAATGAGAAAAATTTTTGGGTGAAGATAGGGTACCATGTGGCATGTCACATGTTGTCTTCAACCAATCACAAACACCATGGCCTCCCATGTTGTCTCCCCATCACCCAACACATAAATGTAGTCCCCATTCTCTCAACCAATGAGAGAAGAGAAAGGTACTACATGGCACTTACCCTATCTGCACCCAAAAATTTAAAGAAGTGAAGTTGATTGGGATGGGGGCAGCCCCTCCATGTGGGTTTGCTACCTCCTCATATTTTTTTTTTCTTCTTTCAAATCAATACAAATATCTATCTATGTATAGACATCTATATATATCAATTAAAAATATATTTCAATATCATTATAATATTTTGTAATATAAATGACAAAAATGATATACTATTTTCTCATCACAAAATATATTTCGTTTGATAATGCACACCATAAATATTTGTAATTCTCTGATGAATATGAAATAAATAATAATAATAATAACAACAATAATACATGGTTACAAATAATAAAGCATGGTTACAAACGAGTCATGATTCAATCAATTAGATTCAAAATTAATGGAGTTTAATAATTTAAAATAAATCTCCAATTGAGAATAAAGTATAAACCAATTTTAAAAGACTTAAAATGGTCATCACCATTCACATAATTAAATATGAACCAAAATAATTAAGTACAGGCTAATCAAATAAATTTCAAAAATTAAATTTATATCTCATTTATTACTCAAGACCCAAGAATTACTATAACTAAAACTAAAAAAATTTGCCAAGCGGGCTTTATGAAGTCAAAATCAAGAAGTAATATAATTTATTTTTACCAATTTAAATAGAATGGTCCACGACACCACAACTATAATAGTATTAACTACATAATCAAACGATTTAAAAATTCATACCAATCTGACTCCAATCAATACCCAAGCCCATAAACATATTAAAAAAAAATACTAAACAGATATTGAAAAGAATAATAAATAAATAAATTCAATTTGATTCAACTCGTTACAGGGTCAATTGGTAAATGGAAGAAGGGGGAGGAGTGATTAGCAAAGAGAGAGAGGGAGGCGAAAGGGAGCACAAAAAATAGAGTTGAATACGGTAGGGAGAGGAATGATCAATATACTTTGCGGGGTTGAAAAAGTAAAAGGCATACTTTATAGGGTGTTTTCGTCTTTTTGCGCTCAAATGAAAGGGTATATGGTCATAGTATAGGCAAGTAACATCGTTTGTGCAAAATTGACGAATTAGGAGAATCTTGATATTGTTAGATAAAGTAAGGGAGGTTTATGTAATTATTGAAACTATATGGGCGGTCCTTGTATTTGTCAGAAACATAAGGGGAGATAAATGTAAATTACCCAATTTTTAATTTTGGCAAATTTTTCCTTAAATCATGTAACATTATATCTTATCTTCTTTATTTGTGCTTAGAGACAAAAATTTTTGAGACTAAAGACTAGAAGATACAAAAATGCTACACACAGAGATGACCAAACACAGAACCAAACATAGAAACTATTCCATCGGATGACCGGAAGATACCAAGACAATTGCGGTCGACACCATGACAGTCGTAGTCGACAAGCTCTGGTTAGTCGTCTGAGCAGTTGTCCATATGTACAATTTCTATGTTCAGTTCTATGTTTAGTCGTCTATGCGCCTAGACTTTTTGCTAGAGGATACAAGTGAAATAAGATCTACACGGGCGGGTGGTAAGACTTGAAAACATCTTAGTAAAGCAAGAGCTTTAGCTAATGTACAAAAATCATTGATTCACAAAACACATACTTTAAACACCATAATTGTATTTTATCATTTTTTTTTTTGGGTTAAACCACATAAGATTTATATGATATTTGGAATTGAAATAGGGGTTAGTTGCATTTTTCACCCTTATAGTTTGATTCAAATTTTACTTTAATATCTATAATTTCAAATTAAATAGTTTAATCCTTACAATTTAAATCTAGTTTTAGTTTGTCCTTTCCGTTCAAGTTAGAACTTAAAATTAACAATTTTGGAACACGTGTCAGTCTCCTAAGGTATACGTGTAGGAAAAATTAACGAAAATTTGAATGAAATGGTCAAATTGAAACTGGATTAGTGTAGGGACCAAAACATTAAATTTAAAATTACAAGAACAAAAGTGACATTTAAATAAAAATACATGAGTTAAAAAGTGTAATTAAGCCTTCAAATAATCTTAAAACAATACATGAGAAAGATAATTCAAGTCAATTAGAAGAACATTACAAGTGCATGAATGTAATGAATAAGTGGTGGTCATATCTTGTTGAGCTTGGCAAGAACAAAAACAGTGGCAGAAGTGACAACAGGGATGAAAATTTCATTAGGAATGACTTTGGGAATGATCTTCTGCTTGATGAATAGGGTGGTCATTGGAACCCCAAAGATGTAGATGAGCATGTCTTTTGCTCCAAAACCTGAAAACCTAGTCTTGAATACCAAATCTTGGAGGATATTATTAAACTCTTCCTTTGTCACTTTGTCTTCGCCTTTATGGTGAATCTGGGAAAATCATAACACCCACGCGGAAGCATCAATGATTCAATATTAGTTTCCACAAAGATATTTATTAGAAAAAAGTCTAATTGCATGAAAGGAATCGAACACAAAATGTGCAATTGTTTGTCTTAAATTTGTGTATTTTGTATTTTTCTATAAATCCTTATTCTTTATATGCATTTTGATTATAACAAGGTCGGTTTATTATGCATATGTGAGATAATTGTCCTTGGGTGAGAAAATTTAACCCCAGATAAGAATTTTATAGCAAAATGACAAAACAACCCTTCTATCTCCAAACCAAACTTGGCATAAGAGTTTTATTATTATTATTATTATTATTATTATTATTATAGTTCAAAAAAAAGGCATCAAATGGACGATCAGTTATGTAAGAAATTCTAACAATATATACTCTAAGCTCAACTCAAACACTAACTAGATCAATACAAGAAGAAAAATTTAAATACGACAGCGATATCATGTCATTAGTATCACTATCCAATCATTTCTTATCTTTTACCCTCCATGTATATGTGATACCTGAAAGGTAAGGTTTACCTTTCACATCATGTGGTTTTATGTTGGTGATACCACACATTGAATTTTTACTCCAATACAAGAAAGAGCCTTATAATAAAAAATAAATAAACAATTAAAGAATGTCCTGTTAATTTAAAAAAAAAAATCAATTTTTGTATTTAACAAAAACTGACCTATTGACCTTTGATCAATCGGGAAAAAAAACCTTATTGGCATTTGAATTGAGATTGTATACAGTCATCAATTGAACTGCCCTAATTAATTTCTAGTAAGAGTTCACTCATTCAAGAGTAAAGAGACCAATTCAAAAGCTGTATTAGAGGCATGTTGGCATGTTAGCAAAACTTTTGAAAGTTAATGTAATGCTTTTTTATTTTTGAATAACAAGCATGTCCTCCAAGGAGACCTCGTAATTAGCAATGGAGAAACTATGGGAAGAAAATTAGGAATTAAACTAGATGTAAAGATGCTTACTTTGAATACTTGCTCAAGTTCTGTTGTCTTTGGGACACGGAACTGTGTGCTACCAAGCGTTTTGTTAATTTCTCTGTCAATTAATAGACAAAACAAACCAACACAAATTGATTGCTCATAATTAGAAAATTACACTGCTATGCTACTACAATAGGTGTCCTGTTTTGCTTTTTATTTTTAATTTTCACTCCACAATATTTTTAAGATTAATATAACAATAATACCATGGCATCATCACTCACTTATCAATAATTCGCATTCCTAGTTTATAGCCATTGGATATGTAATATAGATGTTCCGTTACAATTGTATAATGGAGAAGATAATGGTCTATAATATAAACCATATATGGATCGTAAACTCTACTATTCAGATATAACTGCTGAATCAAACATGATCAAGTAACTATTACATCTAAATAGCAGAGCTTGCTATGCTCGCTCACATGTCACTACAAATATATTCAATTTTTTTGTCAAATCAAAAAATAAGAACATTTCAAAAATTTAATAGAAAAAAAAGAAGGGAAACTGATAGAGAAGAAAAGAAAAGTACTCGATGGTCTCACAAACAGCATGGTAGAAGTCATCTGACTTCCAGTCGCGGTGGACATGCTTATCGGTGCCTGCAAAGTATGTATTATAGCAAGTTTCTATTACTGGTCCAATTTCCTTGGCTTTGTTTTCCTCACTTCCTACACCAAAAATGATTCATAAAAAAAGAAAAAAAAGAATTACATTTTGAAAAGGACAAAAAATATGTGTTGTATTAAGTCACCAATTGTTTCAAAAATATAACAAACGGTTACGAAATGAGTCTAACGATACATATTAATCTATCTAACACCCTCTTTCACATGGACAGACGAATAGAAAGAGAAATAAACAAGCAAACAGAGAAGAAGAAATCAAATGATGACAAAATAACAAATGCCAATTGAAAATTTTGAATCTAAGAACTCTCTTAATCTGAGGTCTGATACCATATTGATGTGTGCGATAGACAGAGAGAGGGTGGTTTGCATACCAGGAGCTAGTTTCTTAAGTGATTGACCCATCTATGTCTATCTCCTCCTTGACAATGTTGTGACAATAAGATTGTGATGGGTACACAAAAGTGAAAAGAGGATTTAGGCTGAATTTTATGGATGGGTATGGAGGCTTCAAAAGGGAGGAAGAGTATAATTGCATTGCTGAAGCAAGAAGCCAAAATAATACGCAAAGGAAGAAGGAATCAATCCTCATCCAATTCAAGTCCATACTTCTCATATATGTCAAGAATCAGTTTCACTAATTTATTTTTCAATTTATTTATTTTTTTTTTTTTTTTGGAACTTCTAAGCAAAGAAAAATTACAAATACGTGGGAAGTCAAAAAAAATATTTTCAAACCATTGGAGATTTTTTTTTTTTTAATTGCAACGCACTTGGGAAGAAGAAAATTAATTACAAACTACAAATAAGAAAAATCTAGTCATGAATTGACCATATTGCCCTTTCTCTTCCTTTTCCCTCCTTTCTTGCCTTCCTTCCTCTGTCACTCCAACTGCTGGCCACCACTGCAATACTCTCCCTCACAACCCCTAGTCCCTCCATCCCACCATCACCACCACTATTATCACCTCTTCACTACCCCACGTTGCTCCCCCCACCACCGCCAATACCTCCCCACCCCACCTAACAATTCTTTTCACCCAAACTCTAGCCACCACAACCACTCCAATCCCCAAAGCCCCTTCCCTTTGCAACGTTGTAAAATAAGATCGATGTAAGTGTTAACTATGCTCAGTTCAAGTGCAAATTGTATGTGGTTGTCACACTTGTCACTTAAAATATTTTAAAATGTATCTCTATACAGAGAGGTAGAGGCACTAAGGGACCAAGGGGGTCATGTGCCCCCTCAGACTTTTAATTTTTTATTTTTTTTGCATCTTAGTTAAGCATTGAGACACACAGCCCCAACCAAACACTGACACAACCCCCAACCACATCCGGACTTTTCAAATTTTTTTTTTTTTTTTTATCTTAGCTAAACACTAACACACACAGCCCCCAACCAAACACTGACATAGCCCCACCCACACGCATAGCGCCCCTTCCCCCCAAACAATTTCCAAAGTCTCAACTTATATATATATATAAATTCTTAACTTACTGGGCAAGACTTTTAGCAACAACCGGCAGGACCTCTAAAACTCTAAAAGTGTATAAATTTTTTTATTATTTTATTTATTCTCTAAAAGTCCAAAAGTGTATGGAATTTTTTTATTTTTTTATTTATTCACAGTACTTTTTAAGTGTTTTCATATTTTATTTGGCTTCCTTTGTTGCTTTGCAATTTATCGACTCACGATTCACCAGATTGGGATCACACAACACAAATTTGGAACCACACTACAACCTTGGTGTCTTCTCTTCATTATTTATAGCTACCTTTATTTATTACTTTTTACTTTTAAATAAAAATTATGAGTATTAATTTATAATTATTTATTAAGTTTTGATTTGTAAATTTTTTTTATTTGTTATTATTATTATGTTACTGTTATTGATTGGGGAAGAAAATTTTGAGATTATAATTAATAGGTGCCCTGATATTAAATTCATGACTCCCCTGCTGTGTCTATACAACATTTAAAACATAATTTTATTCAGTAAGATGAAGTCACAACAACAATCACAAAACAAATTTAACGGATACCAATTACTACAATCCAAGGTTTCCTATTCCTCAGAAACACGTTTACATAAAATGCTGGTGATATTAAAGAACAAAAAAGGAAGTTACAATAAAATTTTAACAAAAAAAAAAAATTAAAATTACAATAATCACATTTGTGTGTCAAATGAATACAATAGTTCTAAAGATAAGTTCACACTGTGGACATCATATAGTTCAGATTGTTTGGTCAGCATTATTGAATCAGTTTTCATGGACATGGATTCAAAAGAACAAGATCTATTCAATTGTGAATAATTTTTTATCATATTTTGACAGCTCCAGAGGATGTGTAAGGCAATCCTTATAAATGTAGAGCTGAAATTGAAAATGCCAAAACAAAGTTACTTGTAAGCATGAGTCAGAGAGTACGCCTCAATTTGTTAACAAAACTACAAACACACAGTATTTACATCAAGGTATTATATTGGAAGACGAATCAGTATCAGTCGCAGTGTTATTGTGGTGAGTTGAACAATATTTAACTCTGCGTGGAAGAAGCAAATAAAGAAATTGACAAACAAAAAGTCAGCAACTGGAGCCACACTTGAATCCATCTCTATATGACATTACAACCTACCGTAGACTTGAATAACCAACTTCGAATGAAATGTTGCCCATGTAATCATTTTTTGCCAATCTCCCTTACACTCTGTTTGGATTGAGGGTTTTGGTGAGAAAAGAAAAGAAAATAAGAGAACAAAGTTTCTCATCACTTGTTTGAATGATTAATAAGGTGAGTAATGATAAGAAAGGAAGAGAAATTGCGAGAAAGACGTTCACTCTAAACTTGAGTTTTGTTTCTCACTAAAAGTGGTGAGATGTGGTGAGAAACCAAAATTACTCTTTACAAAAAATTTATAATACCTAAACTACGCTTTTAAATGCAAAGCAAATAAAATAAAAAGTGTCCTATTTGAATCATTGTCCATCCAAACAAGAAGGTGAGAAACTCCAACCATTTCCTTCTTTTCTCATCTCAGGATTCAAACAGGGTGTTAAGTTCTTTAAAGACAGATCTCTAAAGGCACACACACACACACACACACACACATTTATATATATATATATAACTTTTTAGTAATGGCAGCTATTTTGGCTATGTCACAGAACAGAAACATTTTGGATGTACATATCAGTAGCACAACCTTGGTACCAGGATACATGGACAGTTGACATATTTGCATCATAATCAACTCAAAACGTGGTTCAAAATCTTGGTCACAATGAATAATGCTGCATCCACCAGAAAACTCCATATTGGACTGCCATCTCAAATTTGGTACAAATGGGGATTAAAAATTAAAACTCAAAAAATGGAAATGATTACAAAAGTACCATAGTGCCATATAAAAGGAAAGTGAATTTTACCACACAAAATAGGTCCTTTCTAGATTTAAACGACGCAACTTGTCTCAATATGTCTTGGGATGTTTCAATTTGCCCAGGTGAATCAAATCTTTGAAACCTAACCAAGATGCTAAAAGCCCGAAGACATGAAATGCAAAAAAATCAAACCATGCAACACCCCTTGGACCAATCCACAACTATCGTACTCAGAGGTAGCTTTCACTTGACCAGGGATGGATTTCAGTCCCATTTTGGTGGTCCAAGAACACCTCATCACTTATAGTCCCAACCAATTACTACCAAATCAGAAAAAGTGGGATCTAAGGTCTTAATTTATCGAGACCCACCCCCTCGGGAAAGTGGAAAGTTGGGAGCTCATATCTCACATTTACTGATTTGGCAAACCATCCGGAACAAAAAATAAAATGGTTTGACAAAGCTTTTGTTGCAGGTAGCTTAAGTTAGGTGTCAAGCAACCACTTTGTCCCTTGAGACCACTTTCAAGTAGTCTCCGTCTCCTAGGTAACCCTCTCCATGACAGTAAACCAAAAAACACATCAAAGCCTACAAAGCTTGAAATCAAACCCTACCAGGCTTTTGGAATTATCAAGTTGGTCTTGTCTTAGTTTATTACCACATCTATAGTGAGATGGCTCTCACATCAGATGGTCTCTTATAGCTTTACTAAAATCTTCACTAGGTCAAAGTGAAAATATTATCTTGGCCTTAAATCGACATCAAAACTTAGAACTGGTCCTTTTCAAAATCATTTCTGATAGAAGATTTGTGAAAGAACATTATATCAAAAACCTTAACTATGGAGTAGAAACTAACATTTAATAATCTTCAAAACTTCATCCATAAAGCAGCTATTTTGATCCAAGATACCAATGTCCTGAACTACCATTTTGACAAGGAAACAACATGTTGAATTTGAAACTACCCCTAACACGTGGATACACAGGAAACCAAATAAGGAACAAGACAAAAAACTGTGATCAACTAGACCTCCAAACTCAAATTCAAGTGAAGTTCGAGTCAACGGCACCTCTCTGCCTCTTTCCAGCGTTTCCAATTGTGTCGAGGTGCCACTTGTCATGGCCCAAGCCTCGTGACAACGCCACACACTCATCTAAGTGAGCATGCAAGGCTAAGAGTCCAATCAAATAAACCATAATAATAATCGACATAAAATAAATCTTTAATGAGAAAATTTTATTTTTGTCCCTATACTTTGTCTCGATAATCAATTACACCCCCAGACTTCAAATAATTTTCAATTTTACCCCTAAATTTTTTGAAATTGTATCAATGTTGGTTGAACTAGATTGTTTCCTGGCCGGGAAAGAATTTCATGGTTTTAGTATAAGAATGGGAATGGAATCTGATATATTCATTGATTGATATGTATGCAAAATTAGGGCACTGGTGGAAGGAGGAAGAGGGCTAGATGTCGCCACCAGTAGTAGCCGGCAGAGTTGTAGAGGTGTAGAGAGGAGAGAGGGTTTAGGGCTTAGAAATAGAGGGGGAGAAAGAGAGAAAGGGAGGAGTTGCAAAGAAATTTGTGGAAGATGACAACAGAGGAGGGAGAAGAGTGAATTTGGATAAGAGAGGGTGAGTTTGCATCTTTGTTTTGAAATTTGGGGTCAATATAATTTTTTTTAACTTTTTCCGTTTAAATGTGATTGTAGGGGGAAAATTGATACGATTTCAAAAACTTTGGGGATAAAATTAAAATTATTCAAAGTCTGGGGGTGTAATTGATCATCGAGGCAAAATATAGGGGTAAAAATAAAATTTCTCATCTTTAATTATAAAGTTTCAAAATCCATCAAACTATAATTAATTCTTAACTTCTGAAAACCTCCACCAAGTCCACTACGATAGTCCATTAACAAAATTGTAATCCAAAATAACTTAAATCATATTCCTACTCTTAGCACTCTCAAAAGTAAAACCCGCGCAACTCTACTCTTCAAAATCTGAAAAAGAAAAAATAAAAAAAGGGATAGCTTAACAAATAACCAACTATCACTGCTAGCTAGATTAAGTATACAGAAAAATAGTCAATAAACAATAAATGTATTTCTCTACAATTCAACGAATGAAGCAATTAGTTTGCAAGATGGTTTCATAGCTGAAAATAAACAGTGTAACAATACATTTTAATTCAAAACACAATAAGATAATTCGAAGTAATTTCATTTGTTCAAATCGATGGTTTGAAATCCAATGGTTCAATGATTTGATTCACAAACTCAAGTCTTGGTAACTACAACCACTTAGCCCGTGACAAGACCCAAAATCACACAAAAGCATGTGGTAAAGACCCAGAATAAACTAGTTTTGGTGCCAATAAATAACCCTCCATTGGCTAGTTCTAGATAATAGTCAGACTACAATCATATTCAAAATTCAAACAAGAAATTTCTTTTAAATATAAAACATTCAATATCATTTGAAAACATTTTGGTACAAATTTTCAAAATAGTTTCATGAAAAGTATAGGAATAATTTTCAGAATTCATATTCAATGCCTCTGCATACTTGATCCATATTTTTCTTTTAAGAAAACAAGAATGCTACAAATAAATAATAATAATTATTATTATTATTTACAATAGTGAAACATATATTTTTAAATTCAATAGGATTGAAAAAAACCAACAGTGATAGAGGGTTACTTACCTCAAACTGCTAAAATAATATTTTCCAAAGCTAACCTCAAAATACAAAGATCCACTTCAATCTTACAAACCTAATAAAATATTACACCACATATACAAATATTATTATCCTAAATACGCCCATCATTCTTTTCTTTATAATATAATAATCTAATCCTATAGTCTACAAGTAAATTCCAAAATCCCAAAATACGGCTTCTGCAATCTTCAAGACTTATTTTATTCTATTGTTTTTTTTTTACATATATAAACCCATAGTTGCTAGCAGTCAAAGCTTGTATCCTACAAATGCACCACCATTAGAATTACCTATCACATATCAGCCCCAAAATACACACACACCCAATCAACATACAAGATACTCTGTGGCCAAAACAACCCACTGTATTCATATTTTGGCAAAACCGACACCCAATATCAGATTAGACAAATATGCTTATTTTTTCATATTTACCCATACGAATCATGCATTGTTATATTGAAACTAAATTAATAGACAAGAATACCATTAAAAATCTTACCTTTAATAGATGAACAGATCAAAATCACCCACTCCTCTTTTCAAACCCTTGAACGGCCCTCTCTTTTAGACCCTCAGAAAATAAGCATATATATCAACCTATGTCTCTGCCGCAAGACTTAAAAGCCCAAGCATTGGCTCATTATCCTAGTTTTCTACAATTACAAAATTACCCATCTAAGTAAAAGAAATTACAAAGTCATCCCATAAATAATTTCTTAATGTTATAATTATTATATAAATAAAACTTGGATATCACACCACTGCCCTCCACCATTTCTGTCACTCAAGCAATCCATGAAAGAACTTTGAGAATTGGCTAATCTCTATTCTTCTCAAGTGAGGTATATATATAATTTACAATATATGGCTTATACAGAAATTATGCCTAAACATATTTAATTACAAAGATTTTGCCTAAGCTAAGCCCAAACATGTGTAGTGAGCTAATTAAGGGAGCTTCCCAACAAAAACCAAGGTCAATATAAAAAATAGCAAAAGAAAGCACACACTATTATTTCACAGCTATAGCACAACATTGACAAGTAGTATGCACTTCACTAATTATCATTAAATATTGACTACTTTATTTGCAGATAACATTAAATCTATAAGCCATTTGTACACAGATAATTGCAAGGGCAAAATATTCATCCACTTTTACTTTAAAAATCCAATCAAACAGAAATCACAGATAAAAGTTCCTCAAATTATTTATATTAATAACTAATGAAACGCAGCATGAAAACATTTTAAATTATACATTACTACTTATATTACTTTAAACGTATTCTTGCCTAAGCTAAGCCCCTTTTTTCCCCCAAAATGTATTCTTGCGTTTGGTTGTGACCTTGAAAATGATGGCACTTCTGGTGGTGTGAGAGATAGCGATAGAGTGGTAGAGTGGTGGTGGTGGTGATTGTTGTGTGGTGGTAGTGGCAGTGGTGGTGGCAACAACGATCGTAGTGGTGGGAGGTGTGTGTTGGGATTTTCTATCAATACGAAATGGAAATATATTATTATTAATGGTAATTGGTTTTTCCCCTTGGGAGCCATTTAGTTGAGGCTCAATGTTATTGGATATGTGTGTATATGCATGTACATGCATGGTATATATCACATTTGTGAAAATTAATGTGATTATTGGCAGTGGTGTATCTCACAGTTTGCCAATCTGCGGAGCAGCCAATATTAGTCTTGGAAGAGCAAAGGTTTTATTTGTAATGGTGCTGTCAACATTGGTTAATGAAATGGCATGGAAGGAAGTAGCAGCTGACATTAGGTTTGAAAATGAAGTGCATGATGCTTTTTTGGGTACTCAGCTGTCATCATAGGAAAGACCAAAAGGAATGCGTATTTACTTTGTATGTCTCCTCAACTATCTGATGTTATGTACTATGATGCACGGATACGGACACGGGATACGACATGGACACGCAGACGCGTAAATTTTCAAAAAACGAGAAACATGGCACACTAGGGACACGCTTAATATATATAATTTTATTTATTTATTATATATCTAAATTTTTTTAAAAAAAAAATCATTGGTTCCTATAAAATTACAAAAATAATAAAATTAATAAACATATTACCTAAAAAATTTTAATAAAAATTGATTTTTTTTCAAATAAAAATAATTTGTTCTATGAATTTTAGGTTCAACAAAAACAAAGATACCCAAAAAAAAGAAAAAAAAAAGGGGGGAGGGGAGAGAGACGAAATTAGGAAGAAAAAAAAAAGGAAACGAAATCAGAAGAAAGGAGAGAGACGAAATCAGAAAAGGAAGAGAGAAACGAAATCAGAAGAAGGAGGAGAGAGAAACGAAATCAGAAAAGGGAGGAGAAGAAGAAGAAGAATACCTCAGAAGGGCCTTCCATTGATCTCGTTTGAATAGTTTCAAGGCTTCCTCTCTCTCTCTCTCTCCCCAACAGATTAGGGCTTCTTCGATCTATCTCGTGCGTATCCAAAACGTGTCATCGCGTGTCCATTGCGTGTCTAACTAAAATGTCCGGCTGCAAAAAAAAATAAAAAAAAAGTGGGACACCTTAGGGAGAGTGTCGGACACGTGTCCACAGCGTGTTCGACGCGTGTCTGTGTCAAGTGTCCGTGCTTCATAGGTTATGTATAACTATGAGTATATGGGTTGAGTTAAGAGTGAGTGAGAGGTGCTCACCATTGTAAGAGAGAGAGAGAGAGAGAGAGAGAGGGAGTCTCCCCAATTTGTGTGAGTGTGTGTGTGTGTGTGTGTGTGAGAGAGAGAGAGAGAGAGAGAGAGGGAGTCTCCCCAATTTGTGTGTGTGTGTGTGTGTGAGAGAGAGAGAGGGACTCTCCAATGTGTGGTGAGAGTAAGAGTTGTCAAGGGAAGAAAAGGATGTATGTTGTGTGAGAGAAAAAGTAACCATAGGACAATGGGGTGAGCAAGGACTCAACTATCTTGAACATGGGGTTCAAGTAGTAGTGTGAATTTTGAATATTTTCAGCCATCTCACATGTACTCTCTATTGATTATAGTGGCATATCTCTCCTGTAGATGTAGGCACCTGAGCTGAACCACGTTAAATATTGTGTGTTTCTTTTGTGTATGCATATTTTTATTGGGTATGCTTCTTTTAAGGTGGGTTTTATCGCCAACAGTGTAGTGATGGTTGTTGTTTTGTAGTAGTGGTGGCGGTGGTAATGGTCGTAGTGACAATGGTGGTGGCATTGGTATGACACTTATCTGTCTGTCTTGCTAGGTCTGGAAAATGTTTTCTACATTTGGAAAGTGGAAAACATTTTCACCTTAAAAAAATAAAATGTTTTCCAAACAAATCAGCTTATTTTTCCATTGACATAAAAATAAAAATAAATAAATAAATAAAAATCGTTGACTTTCGTTTTCTATCATACCACACACTAGAAAATGCAGAAAATGTTTTTCTGAAGAAAAAAATAATAACAATAAAATAAATAAATAAACCACTGAAACAAATGCAGCTATTATAAGAAATCAGGTGTATGTTAATGCTTATCATAGATACCATATAAAAGCTCCATAATCTCATTGGCACCTTAAGAAAGTCTCAACCATTCGCAAACTGCATTGGCTGGATAAACTATGTGAGCAATATGTGCCTGGAGAGTGAGTTTGAACTACATGCATGGCTGGAACCATACAAACTGAAACAACCTATACTAGGGGATTTGAATTTAATAAAGAAAACCCAAAAAAAAAAAAAAAAACATGGTTGCTAATTCAAAAGGGATTTGCAACTTACAGGCAATTCAAAACCCAACCTTGTCGCATCCTTTTAGTTAAACTTCAAACTCGATTATGCTCATGTTTACTTCAACTCCACAAAAGGCTGTTTGATACAGAAGTTTCAAAATAGTCCGACGCAAGTAGTGAATCAGCTATGATGCTTGCAACTTTCAGATTCTTTGTGACCGCCTAGGAATCTCTATGTAGTCAATCTCTATCTTCTGGATTGTTTTTATCTTGCACCAATCTTCACCTTCTTCCACCTTGCATCTTTCTTTTAAAATGACACTTTCTACAATAATCAAGGTTTTAAGAGAAGTTGGCAGACCTTCCTCTGGTAATGACTGAAGTTTTGGACATCGACTGATGTCTAGATTTTCTAGGCAACTGAGGTTGTGAAGTAATGGTAATGTAACTAGTCGTGGACAATCTACAATGGTGAGCTCCAAAAGGCAAGGCATGTCAGCAGGACTTAAACCTTTCCATGCAGTCAAGTTTGGCATATCATGGAATCTTAGTGACTCTAATGAAGGGAACCCCCTAACAGTACCAAACCCACAAAAACGATGGTCCACATTAACCAAATCACCCATACTTTCAATGTAAAGAGATTTCAGCAACGGAAGTTGCCCAAGAGGGGGGAGGATAGTGCATCGTTGGCAGCTTTGCAAGTGAATACTCACAAGTTTACATGACAATGGGTCACTCAGCCAACTAGGAAAAATTATTCCACCGTAGTTTGTCACTTGTAACTCTTTCACATTTTCATGAGGCTGTAGGCCTGCTAGGACTTCTTGTTGAATGAATCTATCTCCGAAGTTGTTCCACTGAAACTCCACTTTGTTGAGGTGTGGTTTCTTGTCTAACATTGCTTCCTTAGCCTCCATTACATTCATCACATTCTCAAGATTTGTAATGCAAATCGATCCCCTAAGAAACCTCATGTTCTTCAGCTCCGCAACACTACGTCCTTTTTCTTTTCCCACGATAAAAGCAGAGAGGGTTTGGAGATTAATTAATCTTCCAAGTTCCGATGGCATAGAATTCAGTTGCCGTTTTACATCCAAGTCAAGATGTCGTAGGTTGGTCAGATTTTTCAAGTTTTTGGGTAATTCAAGAAGTTCAAAGCAGTTTCTGAGCTTCAATGTTTGTAAGCCTACAAGATTATCAATTGATTCAGGAAGCTTTTGGAATCGATTCTCAGAGAGGTTGAGGTACCGAAGATGTTTCAAGTGGTCGATGGAATCTGGCAGCTCATCAATGCCAATACAACTTAAATCCAACATTCTCAAGCGACCTAATTTCAGAAATAGATCAGAAGGGATTTGTCCAACACAAGCACCATCTTCACACATCACTAAGAATGTTCGCAATCTTCTTCTACATCTATCAAACGGCTTTGAAGTAATATGTTGAATATTTTTATGATTCAAAGACAAATGACGAACATTTCTAAACATAGGATACCAGCATCCTTTGTCGTTCTCCATCCGAAAGCACATACCAGCAGAAATGAATTGTGCCATGCTGTGAATGACATCATGCATCTTATATACTGGTTGATTGTGAATATTAACATGTGAATATTGAAAAAAACACCTCCAAAGTAGATCACTGAAGTAGTCACTGCCAATGTCTTCCAATCTTTGTTCTCCTACAGGTTGAATGAGTCCTTCCGCCATCCACACAAGGACCAAATTATCTATTTCAAACTCATGATTGCAAGGGAATATTGAACAATAAGCAAAACATCTCTTTAGATGTGTAGGCAGATGATGGTAGCTCAGTCTTAGAGCTGGAAATATTTCATTTTTATCTTGAGGCAAATCCCACAGCTCACTTCTTAACAGTGTGTCCCAGTCTTTTTCACTGGTTTTTGAATGTAAGACACTCCCAAGTGTCTTGGCTGCCAATGGAAGACCATCACATTTCTTGGCTATCTTTTTACCAATCACTTCAAACCTCTCATTCTCATCCGAATTCCAATTTAAGAACACTCTTTGTTTCATCACTTTCCAACAATCTTCATCAGACAAACTGGGCAAGTAGTATGGCGGAGTGGTGCCAACAATCAATGAAACTATCGAACTCCGAGTGGTCACCAGAATTTTGCTTCCTCTTAACCCAACTCTAAAAGGTGCTCTCAAGACATCCCAATCACCATAATTCTCATTCCACAAGTCATCTAACACCAACAAAAACTTCTTACCCCGGAGTAATTTTTGCACCGTAACCTGAATTGGATCCAAATCCAACAACTTGCAACTTCTCTCAGTAGCAGACTCAATGATTGACTTTGTAATCCTAATCACATCAAAGTCTACAGACACATATACCCACATTCTCAAATCGAAATCCTTCACTATTTCCTCATTATTGTAAACAATCTGAGCAAGTGTTGTCTTACCCAAACCACCCATACCCACTATAGGAATCACAGAAACATTGTTTCCCCCAACATCCTCAGTCAACAACATTTCCACAATCTCTTCCTTCTGCTTCTCTCTTCCAATTAAATTCATCTCCTCTACCAATGATACACTACTACTACCACAACTTGTACTACCCAATTGGATCCCCATATCCCTCCTTGGAAACCCAAATTTGATCAATTGAGTTAGAGAAAAACTGTCCATTTCACTAGCAATACCTTCCAATTCCTTCTGTAACTTACTAATCTCATGAGGTAAACCCAATTTAAAAGTTGAAAAGACCATATCGCGCACCTGGGTTTTGTTAGTATAGATTTGTGGGTGAGAATTCGATTTGAACCTGGAGAGTTCGAGAGAAATTTCATCGAGCAGGTCGTCTGCATCGTAGGAAAGTTTCTTGAGGTCTTCGAGCCAGACTTGCCAAGCCTTGGTGTTGTTGATGGCATGACTGTCCTCAACAAGGTCAACAAGTGCTTGGATTTTCAACAGAGTTTTTTCCAATTTTCTGAGCTCATCGTCAACGCCGAGTATTAGGCCAATCTCGTTGAGAGCAAAAGTTGCAAATCTTTCAAGGATGACTTGTAGAGAAGCAGAGGCAATACCAGACTGAAATGCAGCTTCCATGGCACCAAATTATGGGAAAACAACAGACAAAACAAAAGCCTTTATTTTAATCTTCTCCTCGCTCCTCAGAATCTATAAGTCAACACCCAACAGTGCTTCTTACCTTCTTTCCTCTTCTTTTTACACCTTGGTGACTATGGAAATGCTACTCTAAAAAATGCACACCGTATGTAATTTTAATACAAAATTCCGTAGACGAATTTTTGCAAGTAGTAGGGCAAATTTTCATAGTTTGATTAAAATACAGATTTTTAAGATTTGAAAAATTATATTTTATTTTTAAGTTCTGTATTTTCATAACAAGTTATCTTGAGATTTATATTTATATAACAAATTCTTCCTAATTTGTTATGCAAATATGACCTTTAAAGAACAATTTGTAATTTCTCAAACTTCAAGTATATTTTAGTCAAATCTCGAGAGGTGTTGGTAATTTGCCTTAAGTTCTGTATTTTCATAACAAGTTATCCTGAGATTTATATTTATATAACAAATTCTTCCTAATTTGTTATGTAAATATGACCTTTAAAGAACAATTTGTAATTTCTCAAACCTCAAGTATATTTTAGTCAAATCTCGGGAGGTGTTGGTAATTTGCCTTAACTAGTAAGATAAAGATATGTAAGTTAAAAGACAAATTGGTGCAAGTTTGTGATTTTGTGAATTTATACAAATATATATTCAATTTATATATTTTTATGAAATCAATTGTTTAAGTTTGTAAAAATTTACCTAATTTTATATTAAAATTTTTTATGATTTGCATTACATGGGAGAATTTTCCATTTAGTATCTCTGTTTTTCGTAAAATTGAATTTTTTATTATGTTTATTTTTATTTTTAGTGAATTTTTTTAATATTTTATATAAATTTTTATTTATTAAATGTAACTAATCTAGATACATTTAAAAATATATATATTTGTGAATTTTTTGTTAAAAAAATCACTAAACATAAAAATAAAAATAAAAATTTAGTACATTTCGTATTTTGTTGTATTCAATGAATTTTTTAAATATTTTTGTACAAATTTTTTACTTTTTAAATATATCAAGATCAAGTGAATCTAAAAAGTTTTTAAAAAAATTAATTAATTAATTAAAATACTTTTAAAAAATCATTAAAATACAAAATTTTAAAAATTATTTTTGAAAATTTCAAACCAAACATAGTGACTTTTTGTAATCTTACTTGTTTTGATTACAAAACAAGAGATAAGTGGGAATAAATAGAAAGAAAAAAAAAAGGTTTTTTTTTTTAAGGTCCCTGGTATTATGATTTTATAGCATAAAGGACACCAAATATTTTCATAATGTCTAAGGTCCCTCAACAATATTTTCATAATGTCTAAGGTCTCTCAACGTTGATCCAGAGAAATTTCAGTCCAGAGAAATTTCAGTCCAGAGAAATTTCAGTGCAGAGAAAATTGGTCAGAGAAATTTTGGCCCAGAGAAATTTCTCTGGACCAAATTTCTCTGGACCAATTTTCTCTGGACTGAAATTTCTCTGGACCAAATTTCTCTGGACAGAAAAAAAAATGAGAAGATTACATGATCACTCTATGATTTCGGCCAGGAAAATGTTTAACAAAAATTAAACATTTTTTTTTGCTTCGTTTATTCACATAAAACGCTTCTTCAAAAATATTTTACATATTTTTTTTTTGGTTTGCGTGAACAATAAGTAAAATATTTTTTTCCTCAAAATCACATATCGTTAGCCAATTTTCAAGAAACTCATTTTTAAGAGCATCTCCAATGATATTTGTTAAAATAATATTGTCATTGTTATAATTTGATAATAAACAATACTATTTTACCAAATTATAGGAATAGTGCTCCAATGGTTACATGTTATTTTGACAAATTTTAATCAACTTTCCCTCCAACTTTGTAGGTGTTGTTTAAATATAGATTTTTTTGTTTATTTTTTTTTATCTTTTGTGACCTTTTTTCAACTGTTTGTTAAAAAAAAAATTATATATTTACATTATACCCGACTAGACAAATAAGAAAAATGAAAAAAAAATGAAAAATTTTCAAAAAAAAAATTTTAGAGAAATTCTGGAAAAATCTGAGAATTTCTCTGGTTTGTTATTGAAATATCAATTGAGAATACTTTCCATTATCAAATCCCTGCTAAGGTTTCCTATGTCCTCAAACATTGATAGCCTACTCTAAGCAACAAGTTACAAAATTCTCTGGTTTGGTTGGTCTGAATTTTCTCTGGGATGTTGGACTGAATTTTCTCTGGGTCCGATGTGTATATAAGAACCAGTTTGTGTATATACTTTTAAAAAAATCAAATTATTCATTTTATTTTTTCCTTTTGTTATTTATTTGTTTAGTTTATTATATTTGAGATCAAACTCTAGGGTGTAGAAATTTCAGATTTGAGGTTGCAGAGTTTGTGTTTTGCCATTACTTTTCCATTCTTAGTTGGAATTTATGCCAAAAAGAGTTTATATACATATCTCAGTAACTATACATATCTATTTGGTCAATCCAAACCACAGAATTTCTCTGGATCAACCCAGAGAAATTTCAGTTCAAGCTAGAGAGTTGAACCTAGAGAAATTCTGAATTTTCTCTTGGTTGAACTTGAGAAATTCTGAATTTTCTCTGGAACTATAAAACTCTGATTTGAAGAGTTTAATGTGACCAGTGTAATTTGCCTTTTGAATTATGAATTGAAATACCTGGGGGGGGACTCTTTTCTTGAAAGTGATGAGGAAGGCGAAGATGGCAGTGAAGAAAGGAGTGGTGGAGCCAATGGCTTGGTTGAATGAGACAGGTAGGTAGCGTGGTTAATTTTGGCATTACAGTTTTCTTCATCATTATGATACAATAAACATGCAGAGTCAAACAAATGAATGTTTTCCTAGGTATCTCTGAGATTTAATATTTGATGTCATCAGGATATACAAAGGAAAGGAGCAGCATCGTAGTTATTGGGCTCAGTGTCCACACTACACATGTTGAGATGCGTGAAAAACTTGCCGTTCTTGAAGCAGAATGGCCTCGAGCCACTGCAGAGCTGTGTAGTTTGAATCATATAGAAGAAGCTGATGTTCTTAGTACCTGCAACAGGATGGAGATATATGTTGTAGCTCTGTCTCAACATCGTCGTATGGCGAAGAAGCTGCTGTTCTAGATCTCTCAACAGGATGAAGAAGTTGTTGTTCGAAAGAGCGAGAATGGCGAACGAAGCATGTGGCTCGTAAACCCTAGACGAAAGACAACCGATTCATCGCCATCGAGTCGATCGATGTGTCCTTGGTGGAGGAGCTGAGTGCAGGAAGGAGAGAAATTGGTCAAGGGTTGGGGATTTGGAGCCAGCGGTGATCAAGCTCAGGACAACGTGGATGAAGAGGGGATGGGGTAAGGGACCTTAGACTACAAAAGAACAGATTGTGGACCTAATTCATTACTAAAAGTTGGATAGGGACCTTAGACCGATTTTCCCAAAAAAAAATGGAAAGAAATTTTCTCTCATAATTCACATTTTAATCTCTCTAAAATTAGATCGAAAGAGAGAAAAGAAAAGAAAATGAGAAGATTACATGATCACTCTATGATTTCGGCCAGGAAAATGTTTAACAAAAATTAAACATTTTTTTTGCTTCATTTATTCACATAAAACGCTTCTACAAAAATATTTTACATATATATTTTTTTTGGTTTGCGTGAACAATAAGTAAAATATTTTTTTCCTCAAAATCACTTATCGTTGGCTAATTTTCAAGAAACTCATTTTTAAGAGTATCTCCAATGATATTTGTTAAAATAATATTGTCATTGTTATAATTTGATAATAAATAATACTATTTTACCAAATTATAGGAATAGTGCTCCAATAGTTACATGTTATTTTGGCAAATTTCAATCAACTTTCCTTCTAAGTTTGTAGGTGTTGTTTAAATATAGATTTTTTTGTGATTTTTTTTGTTTATTTTTTTTTATATCTTTTGTGACCTTTTTTCAACTGTTTGTTAAAAAAAAATTATATATTTACATTATACCCGACTAGACAAATAAGAAAAATGAAAAAAAAAATGAAAAAATTTCAAAAAAAAATTTAAATATAATTCACCCCACCAAAAAACATACCACTAAAAAAATATATAAAAAAAATTATTAACTAAATTAAAAATCCTCAAAATTACATTGAAAAATAATTGACATAGCAAAATTAAAAAATACATTCTCCTGTAATTATTCATTAGGATGCAGGAGAAAATAGTAATTTGGGTTGCTAGCATGTGCGGACCACTTAGTGAAAATCTCATTTTTCTGCATTATGTAATACGCTTTCGTCTGATGGTCCAAATAAGAAATGTCTACAGTCATTATCAAACGTTCTTCGTTTTTTATCTCAAATTCTCTCATCTCCAACAAATATTCTTCCTTTTAATCTCCAGTTCTTTCATCTCCTGTAATGCTTGAATCATTTTTTCTTCTCTTTCAGCTTTTTTCATTTTCTTTTCAGCAAGGTATTAGTTAATGTCTCCAACAAATTATTATATTTGTAGGTTTCAGCTTGAACAACTTCACTTTTCTGAAGCAATTCTTTTGCAAATTTCCTACCCATCGCCTTGCAGAGACACTATCCTCACCGATTGGATTATTACCAACAATTTGATTGTTACCAACACTTGGATTGTTATCGTCTTCAAGAGAAATTATTCATAGGGGATTCGAGAGCTGAATTAGGGGGAAACGGTGTATGTGTCATTGACTTTATTGTGTTCGTAGGAGCTACATCTCGCCACCTGATATTGTTTTGCAAGATTGACCAGCAATGTTCAAAAGTAAAATGTTTGTTTTCATCTTGATGGTATAAAAATTTTGCTTGAAGCATCTGCATCAATAAAATATTTAATTAATTAATTAATTTTTATATGAGACAAAATAAATAAAAAAAACTAACATAATAAATGAAAACGAAATCTTACTATATCAACTTGAGACATCTCACTTGGGTATAGATTTTCAACTTGCGCCAAACACCCACGAAATTTGTTGCAACATTTCATGATTACACACCATCTAGATGAGATAAACACTTGTGTTCTTGAGTGATCATTCTGCAGCGAGTAATAATTTTTAAAAATTCTTCCCCAAAAATGATTATAAGATTCCGAATTCCCAATAATTGGGTCTTCAATACTGTGACACCAAGCTCTATAAATTGCCACATCTTCTTGAGTGGTGAATGATTTTCTTCTCTTTGTTTTTAATGAACCTTCCATACTAATTGTGCGAAAAAATGAACAAAAAAAAAAAAATTTGTTGCAACATTTCATGATTACACACCATCTAGATGAGATAGACACTTGTGTTCTTGAGTGATCATTCTGCAGCGAGTAATAATTTTAAAAAATTCTTCCCCAAAAATGAGTATGAGATTGCGAATTCCCAATAATTGGGTCTTCAGTACTGTGACACCAAACTCTACAAATTGCCACATCTTCTTGAGTAGTGAATGATTTTCCTCTCTTTGTTTGTGATGAACTTTCCGTACTGACTGTGTGAAAAAACATACCAAATATATATATATATATATATGTAGATTGAAGACAATGTGTATTCAAATGGAGATTGGTTGTTTAGTTTTATAGGGAGTAAAAATATGACCTTTTTTTTTATCCATTTAATTATAATCGTTAAAAATCAGTTGTTTCAAGCATTTCTCAATTGAAGGAAAAAAAAGAGTCGTTGCTCATTTTTTGTATTTCCAATGACAAAAGAGCACCGTTGGATTAGACAATCCAACAGTCAAAATTTATCCTTATCTCTCTGTATCTCTCATCTCTCTGTAACTCTATCTCTCGTTGATTCTAGAATCACCATCCCCTACTTTGCTCTGTCTCTCTACCCATCTCCAATGCCTCTCCACAACCAGTCTGCATCTCTCTCCTTCGCCCTCACCCTCACCGATTGAAGCTTTCCTCATTCACTCTCTCCCTCTGTGTCTCATCTATCGTTGTTCATCACCATAACTACCACCTTCAACCACAACAACCACCAAACCCTTCCAATCTCCAACCCTCAAACCCTTCCGATCCTTCTCCGATCTCCAACCTTCTTCTCCATCACAACCCCTTATCTCTCTTATTTCTTTCCTATCTCTCAATCTCCATCTTTTTTTATCAAAACCCTCTCTCTCTCTCTCTCTCTCTCTATCCTTCTCCCTCGTCTCCTCCCTAGATCCACCATCACTAGCAGCAGATGGATGATACAGAAGAAACAGAAGATCGCAGATCATTATCTGTGTCTGTGTGTGTGTGTGTGTGTGTGTGTGTGTGTCACAAACCCTTCTCCGTATATCACAAAGAAGATGAAAACAAAGATGAGAACCAAGATCGCAGATCACAAAGATCACAGATCAGGAGCTTATTCGAGCCCTCTTTGCAGATCGCAGAATTCGAAACAGAGCTGTCGCCAGAAATCAAAACCCACATCTCAAATCCATCAACCACCAGAAATTCCTGGTATTTATTGTTTAAAATTCATTTGAAATTGCTTGTTTGCATTGAAATTGTTTGATTGTTGTTGTTATTATTGTCTATGATTTCTTTTTTTTTTTAAGGGTTTGGTTGTTGAAACAATTTATGTTTAAAAAAATTATGTTTTAAATAATTTCTTTAAGAAAAAATTTGCTGAATTTGGTTTTGCAAAAAATAACTCTATTTTTTGGGAAGGATGAAGGAGAGAAAGAAGAAAAAGGTTGATTTTGGGTGAGTTGGCACATTTGGCAACTGCTAAAGCTTGTGCCAAATTTGGCACATGTTTTGGCATTTGCCAAATTTGATAGTTGCTATATGGAACCATTGGAGAGCCCCTTTTCATCCAAAGCTGCTATATTATAATTTTGACAGCTCCAATGGCAAACCATTGGAGATGCTCTAACTTGTCATTTTAGTACATTGATTTTTTTATAAATGTGAAAAATTACAAAGCATACAATAAAAAAAAAATTTTGACAAATTACAAATATATTCTTTAAGGTTTGTTGAAAATACCGATTTTCCTTATAGTTTGAAAAATTACAAATACCTCCCTTGTCAAAAAATTTTATTTAACAAAATTAACGGAAAAAATAAAAATCCAAATTGTTCTCCTATACAATGATAAAATTTTCTAAATTATTAATTGAAATAAATTTTTGATGTGATTAAAAATTATTAATTGACTTAATGATTTAGTAATAAAATTGACCATTTGTTATAAAATTAAAAACTTCAGAGATGGGGAGGTAATTTTCAGAACCACTGAGGACAAATTGTATTTTAAGTAAATTTCAGGAGATATATTTATAATTTACTAAAAAAAATTTATCAGTCATATACTAAAAAAAAAAGTTCTCCAAAATCAATAGATATGAAAAATATTTTCCATTGAAAAAATAGATTGACATGACAAGTACATTGACAAATATGGATTGTCATGACAAGTAAATTGACATTATTTGGTAGTTATGGAACACAATTTAGTAACTTTTTGGCTAATTGGCTAAAATAGCCTCTTGCCAAACGAGGCCTTAATGATTTAGTAATAAAATTGACCATTTGTTATAAAAATTAAAAACTTCAGAGATGGGGAGGTAATTTTCAGAACCATTGAGGACAAATTGTATTTTAAGTAAATTTCAGGAGATATATTTATAATTTACTAAAAAAAATTTATCAGTCATATACTAAAAAAAAAAAGTTCTCCTAAATCAATAGATATGAAAAATATTTTCCATTGAAAAAATAGATTGACATGACAAGTACATTGACAAATATGGATTGTCATGACAAGTAAATTGACATTATTTGGTAGTTATGGAACACAATTACGTAGTGCCCTAGAAGTGTTGTGATTGGTGGAGGAGGATGGCTCATAATTTTGTATTAGGTGATTGGGAACAATAGAGGGCATGGTGTATTGTGATTGGTAAGGAACACAGCCATGTAGTGCCTCAAGAGCACCAAATAATTTTTTTTCCCTCCCACACACTTTCAAACTTTTTAGAATTTATTCTTTAAAAGATTTTTTTTTTTAAATCATTATTGTAATGCCCCAAATAATAACAACAACCTACATCATAATATTCCGTAAAATGAATCAGTAGCATTATATTTAACATTTCATTGATACTCCTTGATCATACAAAGATGACTTATGTGTGTATATATTCATAAATCCTAAATCCTAAATCTGTAGCATATGACATGTGCACATAATTTGAAATAAAAGGAGAATTCCAAGTCAATGCTTGAGTACAACAAAATGAGTTCAAGTCAATACAATTAAATCCTATGGCTTGTACAAAAATAATTACACAAGAAACAAAAGAAGTTTTTGGCTCCAAGTCCTCTCAAGCTATGTCTTTGGTAGAGGTATATCATTAGCACTTGAAAATTGTTTTGCACATAGGGTAAGCTAAAGCCCAATAGAAATACTTTTAACACAATGTATAAAACTTAACGAAGTCATAAGGTGAATGCATATGCATGTCATTTGTCAAACGTTTTACACTTTTATGTCAAAACAATGCAATGCCAGGATTATATATCAATTCATGAAAAATATCCTTTTATATTAGAAAATAGGGCAGTGGAACAAAACATCGGGAATCTCTAGGTACGTGTCTGCCAGTAGGCTATACAAGCACTACCAAAACCATTTTACCAGCACTAACTGGAAGGATTGGCACCTAATCGCGCGAGTTTCTAGACTTTCACCAAGGACACACAAAGCAACATAATAACCATAACTACACCTTCTAATCAGATTTACCAAGAAATACACATTTTTTCTCAAAACAATGCATTTTCAATGTTTAAGAATAAAACTATACTCAATGCAAGATGTATGAGTAATTAGTTTCAATTCACCTAATTCTCATGCAATTTCTACAATAATCAAAGCTATCATCTACCAATAACCTAAAACAGATATTTCTACTCAACAGATAATTTTTCAACCATAGATATTGATGTAGGCCGAAAGATACCACATTGAGGTCGCTTAAGTTACATTTATAGTCTTTGAATTTTGTTTATTTGGCAAAGATGATGTGTTTTGTCCACTTGTACAGATTTGGCAGGCAACATGCAAATTCAGGTGACAAGTGGCACAAAAGCAGATTCTCCTAGCAAGTACTAAAAAATTCTCGACCTGTCCACTCACCGTACGTGAAGCCTACCACCACTCAAGCAAAAATTGTGGGCGCTCGAGCGGCCTACCTAGGGACACGTGCCCAAAATTTTGAGCTCGTTCTGCTGAGAATAAGAAGAAGAAAAATAGGTTGCTCTAGGGTTCTGAAATTTTCCAAAGGATAGAAGGGGCTAGGGTTTGAACAGAAGGGTTTCAAGCTTCAAGAATATCTCTCATGGTGGTTTCCTCTTCCTCTACCTCTTTCCACTCCTCCATGAGTGGCTAGTTCTTCTATTCCTAGGGTTTTGATGAAACCTTAGCCAAGTAAGTAGGGTTTTCTTTTTGATTTTTGATTATGTAATGGTTTGAACAAGTTGTATGTTATTCAAGAAGTTTTTAAATATAATTTTCATTATTTCTTCAAGTATTCTTGTTTCTGTTATTGTTGAATGCTTTCCATGCAATGGTTTTCTTCATTTTCATATTCAAGGTATGAGACGAGCTATACTACAAGGGACGAGTTGTTTTGCTACCCTAGTTTAGAGTGAACGACTCGTGCTACTTTAGATGGTTCATGCCTATACGTTGAACATGATAATTCTCTTGATCAATGCTTCGAACTTGTAGTTGCGGAGTATTATTTGGTTCGAACAAGACATAATCGATTTTCAAATTGAGACCTTATTTATGTAACTAGTGGTGACTTCATTACCTTGGGTTTTTTTTTTCCAAAAATCAGTAAACTCAATTTTATTTTTAATTGCTAGGTTAAATTCTTAGTTTATTTTAGTTATTATTAGTTTATGAATCATCATCTTTTTGATCAAAATTAAATTAGGAATTTAACAATTAAATTAATTTAATTTCACATTTATCCCTGTGGAACGACACCTGGACTTACCATTGTTCTAAGGAATTTGGTACAGTTTAGTGTTTATTTTTGGTGTGTAAAACAACCCATCAAATTTTGGTGCCGTTGTCGGAGACTTCTAGCAAAATTAATTAATTTAATGTTATATTCTAATTTTAATTTTTAGTTAGGATATTATGTTTTCGTGTTGCTAAGTGTGCAAGGTTTTTGCAAGGGGAGCTATCACCGAAGTGCAAACAGAGCACAATCAAGCTTTAAAAACAACTGCAACACTAAAGTACTTTAGAAAAAAAAAAAAGAAGAAGAAGCAAATACTCGCAAGCAAAGAACCAAAGTGCTAAAAATAGAGAGTTTAAGTGGAGATTGGAGACAACGGTCTACACATCAAGCACTCGCAAATGAGTAAAGCGTTTTCATTAAATCATTGTGAGTATTTTCTCCTTTGGTATTTGGCTTTCATAACTTAGTGCACAAGAGTCAGAACTTAGTGTGTTTGTGTGTGTGAGTGATGTATGTATGGGCACCGTTCTTGACGCCCTGAATTGTAGAGTTTGGACATTGAACTAGAAAGGACTCTTAGGAACCTTAGAGTCTCTTCCCGTGTTCTTAGGCTTGAATATCTATATCCATACTCGGAGCCATTAGAGATGGCGACCCGAATTTCCCGAATTGGCCCAATCAAACCCTTAGAGATTACTTCACACCCACTGCATATACATCAACATCATGCATTCAATTACTCGATACCACCGCTGCTCATTGTGAGATTAAGTCTAGCACTATCCAAATGCTCCCATCATTCCATAGACTAGCTCATGATGATCCTTACAAACATCTGCATGAATTTCTGAAAATTTTATCTACAGTAAAGATCTAGAATTTCACCAATGAGGCCTTAATGTTGCGATTGTTTCCATTTTCACTGAAGGATAAAGCCAAACACTGGTTAAACTCCTTACCTGTTAATTCTATGACAACATGGGACCAATTACAACAGAAGTTTTTGGAGAAGTACTTTCCCATTGGTAAGACCAACCAACTCTGGCGAGCCATCACCAATTTTGCTCAAATTGATGGCGAAGAATTTCATGAAACATGGGAAAGACTTTGTGACCTTCTCCAACAGTGTCCCCACCACCAAGTGCCTGATTGGCAACTTGTTCAAACCTTTTACTATGGCTTAACTGAGCCTCACCGCCAAATGGTGTATTCTTCTTGTGGTGGGACATTCATGTCAAAAAATGATGCCGATGCATGGCAATTATTTGAGGACCTAAGTGATAATTCCCTTCACCATGCCTTCACAGCCCAGCAAATCCAGTAACCTGTAGTTGGAGCCCCGAAAAGAGGGGGCATTTGTGAGGTAGGGCATAATGTAGTGTAAGCCCCATAAGTAGAGGCATTGTCTTGTAAAATGGACCAATTATTAGTTTCAGGACATGCCCCTACACTACAAGTTTAGACTCAATTTCACGAGGCATGTGTTATTTGTGCGAGCCCTACTCACGACTTGAGTGAGTGCCCTTCGGCATCACAATTTCTGGAGTTAGTCCAAGAGTATATGAATGCAGCTCAAGGTTTCTCCAAACCGGGTAACGACCCATATTCTAACACATATAACCCGGGATGGAGGAACCACCCTAATTTTTCATGGAGACTTCTTCACAAGGCACTTCTTACAACCCTCCACCACCAAGGCAGAAGTTTAATAATTTTTCTAACCAATCTTCTTATCGCCCACTACGACCTTACCAGCAACCACAACCCCTACCTATTCCTCAAGGCAACTCAGCTTTTGAGACTCAGGTGTTAGAAGTTCTTTCAGAGCTTAAGGGGTTAGCACCAGTAGTTCACTACCACACTCACTCCATTGCCAAGCTAGAAGCCCAATTAGGGCAAATAGCTAATAACATGAACAGGAGAGAGGAGGGAAAATTATCGAGTCAAACTATGACCAACCCTAAGGGTCAATATGAGGCAGAGGGGTCGAGTGGGAATGGAAAGCACCATGACCAGGTGTAAAAGGTGATTACTTTGAGAAGTGGAAGGGAGTTAGAGCCTCAGCCAGTTATGTCTGATGCAAATAAGGCTAAGAAGGGTGACCACGGTGGTAAACCCAATTAAAGCAAGTGAGGGAGAAATACATAAAGGGGATGACTTAGTCCCTAGTACTTCAAATGAGTCTAAGGCACCATATGTGCCTAAGGCACCCTTTTCCCAATGCCTTGATACACAATCCCCTTTTAATAAGAAGGTGGCATCCATGGAAGCGATCATGAAGGTCTTTAAACAGGTTAAAATCAACCTCCCCTTGTTAGAGGCGATTAAACAAGTACCTTCCTATGCAAAATTTTTGAAGGACCTATGTACGCAAAAGCATAAATCTAGGACACACGTGTCCCAAAAGGTCATACTCACGAAGTAAGTAAGCTCCATTTTATTGAGTGACACACATCCCCAAGCTTGAAGACCCCGGTGCCCAAACCATTGCATGCATTATAGAGGATCATTTCATTGATGGGGCCTTGTTAGATTTAGGGAGTAGTGTCAATTTGTTGTCGTACTCTGTATATGAGGAATTCAGGCTTGGCGAGTTAAAGCCCACTATTGTCACACTTCAGTTGGCTGACTGGTCCCTCAAAGTGCCACGTGGCATGATTCAAGATGTGCTAGTAAAGGTCGATAGGTTTTATTTTCCTGTTGATTTTGTGGTTATAAATATGGAACTGGTAGCCAGCTCTAGGAAACAAATCCTGATGATCTTAGGTCAACCTTTCTTGGCTACGGCTAATGCATGTATTAATTGTCGTACCGGGGTTATGGATGTTTCATTTGGGAATACGCAAGTGAAACTCAATGTTTTCCAAGCATCCCAATAACCCCATGAAAGAGAGAAGTGCTTATTTGTGGATATTGTGGGCTCGATAGTAGAGGAGGTTTTACCCTCCATTCTCATAGAGGACCTTTTAGAGGCTTGTTTAGCTCATTTTAGGTTTGAGGATTTTGATATTGACAAGTCAATTGAGGAAGTGAATGCTTTACTTGATTCTTCTTCTACACCGGATTTTCCTCTATGGAAAGCCTAGTTTGAGTCCCTTCCTCCTCTTTCTAGAGAGCCTGTCATATCATCCTTAGTCACACAACCTATACTTGAGTTGAAGCCACTCCCGGCCACACTCAAGTATGCCTTTTTAGGGTCTCAGGATACTTTACCAGTCATCATTGCATCTGACTTAACTGCAGGGCAGAAGAGTCAATTAATGAATGTTCTCGTGGCACATCGGAGTGCTATAGGGTGGTCGGTGGCTGATTTGAGAGGGATAGATCACTCCATGTGCATGAATCATATACATTTAGAGGAGGATGCCAAACCTTCTCATGAAATGCAATGGAGGCTCAATCCTAACATGAAAGAGGTAGTAAAAAAAGAGGTTTTAAAGTTATTGGATACGGGTATTATATACCCCATCTCCGATAGCAAGTGGGTGAGCCCCACATAAGTGGTGCCCAAGAAATCGGGCATCACTGTTGTTGATAACGAGCACGGAGAGTTAGTCCCCACACGAACCACCACCAAGTGGCGAGTGTGCATTGATTGTCATAGGCTCAATTCCATGACTAGGAAGGATCACTTTCCTTTATCTTTTATTGATCAAATCCTAGAGCGATTAGTAGGGCTGAGTTACTATTGTTTCCTTGATGGCTATTCTAGCTACAATTAAGTTCCTATGTATTCTGATGACCATGAAAAGACCACCTTCACATGTCCTTTTAGCATTTTCGCTTGTCGCCGAATGCCTTTTGGGCTTTGCAATGCACCAGCGACCTTTTAACAATGCATGATGGCTATCTTCTTTGACATAGTGGAGAAATTCTTAGAGGTCTTCATGGATGACTTCTCCGTGTTTGGGTCGTCTTTTGAGGAATGTCTCCAAAACTTAAGTAAAGTCCTTAGTCATTGTGTGGAGACAAACCTTATTTTGAGTTGGGAAAAGAGCCATTTTATGGTTCAAGAGGGTATTGTGTTAGGACATATTCCTTGTGGTATAGAGGTCGATAAGGCCAAGGTCGACTTGATCTCTGGCCTGCCCCCACCTACTTTCGTGCGCCAAGTGCGCTCATTGTTATGGCACGCAGGTTTTTACCGTCGATTTATTAAAGACTTTAGTAAGATCTCACACCCCTTATGCACTCTATTGGCTAAGGATGCTCCGTTTGTCTTTGACAGAGCATGCTTGGTGGCATTCGAAACACTCCAAGTTGCACTTTCTACTGCCCCCATCATGCAATCTCTTGATTGGTCCCTTCTTTTCAAGATTATGTGTGATGCATCTAATCATGCCCTCGGCGTCGTTATAGGCCAAAGGGTGAATAAAGTTCTCCATGTTATAGACTATGCTAGTCGTACTCTTTCTAATGTTCAATTAAATTACACTACCACTGAGAAAAAGTTACTAGCTGTTGTCTTTGCACTTGACTTAACTGCAGAGCAGAAGAGTCAATTAGTGAATGTTCTCGTGGCACATCGGAGTGCTATAGGGTGGTCGGTGGCT